CCACTTTCATGAACCACTGTTGTCCATAGGTTTTTTACCCATGGTGCCGTTAGGGAGGGAGTGTCTGGATTTTGATGCAGCAGCAATGGCAACATTGTCCAAAGTCAGGATGTAATGTGACTTGTAGGTGAGCTGCCCTTGTCCTTCTAAATGGTGGATGTGGCAGGTTTAGCATTTCACTAATGGGCTCCCTATTCCAGCCATAAGAGTTTAGAAGGATGAGAGGGGATCTGATTGAAGCGTATAAAATTCTAACAGAACTGAACAGACCCGATGCAGGAGAGTCTACAACCAGGGAATATAATCTCAGGATACAGGGTAGACCATTTAGGACTGAGATGAGGAAGCATTTCTTCACTCAAAGGATAGTGAACCTGTGGAATTCTCCATCACAAAAGGCTATGGAGACCAAATCACTGAGTATATTCAATAAAGAGATCAAGACATTTCTGGGTTTTAAAGGCACCTGGAGGTATGGAAAAAAAAAGGGAAAGTGGAATTGAGACACAGGATCAGCCATGATTGTATTGAACAGCACAGTAGGCTCAAAAGGGCTGAATGGCCTCCTCCTGCTCCTAGTTTCTGTGTTACTATAAGGGAGGGAAGGCATGGAGGAGTGAAACTTCAGAGGGAGGTTTAGAATGACCCATTCTTAACACATCTCAACCATCGTTTTCAGAGAGTGCACAGTTTGGGAGAATGAAACATCAAGTGTAGAAATATTTTATTTAAACGTGAAGGAAAATGTACTTTCTATTAGTTGGGTCACCCTAAGACAAGATCCTGAACTCAGCTCCTGTTAAATCACACAAACACGTTCCAACCAGGATGATCAAAGGGCAGTATCAGATATTTCACATAATGTGTTTAATGGCTGCCATGCCTGAAGTGAAAGACATTTGGAGCCGAAGTAGAGGTCACATGACTACAGCAAGCCAGCTAAGGCACTATTCATGGGTTATTTACAAATACTGGAGATTCCTAAAAATAGCTGTTGACTAGTTGGAGTGACAATAATATTTGTATTTCTCCAAACAGCCGTCCTGATTTTATAATAAATATTAATTTGAAAGCACAACCATTTGCAACTGCACATTATCCAATATTCATGATCAGCAACAAAATATACCATTCATTAACAAACTGTATTAATTCCAGTCAGTCCACTTCTACCAGCCTCTGCATATGATCTGCAACATAATCTTTAAATTGGGCAGGTCTTGTAATGGTACACATTGTCACTGACTTTTCATCGGGAACTTGGCCATTCCTGTGATGGTTATTCTGTCTCTGTTTGCCTACCAAGTGTTGTTGCTGATCCATTGCCCTCATTGAGGAACAATGGATCAATGGGACTGATGGTTGTACTGCATTCTGTGCAGTTGGTGACATATCTTCCTCATCTGCTTTCTACAGTGAAGGAGCAGCTGTCCTAGTTGTATTTATGTGTCAAATAGCTACAATATTTAGTCCATGTTCGCTGAGTAGGGACAAGGTGATAACTGCTGTACACAGGTGCCAAGTTGGCTCTTGTTGAGGGTATTAGATGTAATGTGAGTGACTCTCTAATACTCAAGTCTGGTTATGAGCTGGCAGCATTATCAAAGTGAAACTTGGCTTATTTTGGTTAGCTGAAGTGGTCATTGCTCATGTTTGGCCAGTACAGCACTCAGACCAGGTGCAATTCCTTAACAGTTAAATGGCTGTGTGTCAGCGTCTTTTTTTCTTAACTCCTTATGGAGGATGAGTCCAAGATGCCATCTCTGGGCTGTCACTTCATCTGTCTGCCCAATACTTTCTTATATACTAGGTATGTCCTAAAAAGCTTCCAGCCCATCCTTTCATCACTACTTCCCTGCAAGATTTGCAGACTTGCATCAAATTGCTTGATTTAAGCAAGACACTTGTCTTTCAGATTCTGTGTCTCTGGGTGAAGTCTTCCAGTTCAAGGTGGGTTGTTGCTTCTCATCGACTCGGAAAGATTTTCACACTCTGACTTAGCATTCTCAACTTTTCTCACAGAAGGTGCTGCTCCTCACAGCTTGCCAGCAATGTACATCCATTTCTCTTGTTAATATGTCATGTATTGATAATATCTCTGTAAACAAAGGATGTTACTTTGCAGATGCTTTTTGAGTGAATAGAAACAGTTCGAGGAACATGCTTTGAAGTGGCTTGTGGTGAGACTCTACTGTCACTTATCTCTCCCAAATAAGTATGATTGATACGCTCACAAACAATGACCATAACCAGGTATGCTTCCTCAGGTGGTGCATGGCATTTATGTTAATGTCATAGATAAAAATGCAACGGGTTGGTCTCGCTGTTTACGTTTTGCTCCAATTCTGTCTCACTGGAATCGCACTGTAGAGTGACATCATCACTGACATCCCTGGTGTTGTCATTACTTGTTACTTGATTCTAGTGAATCTCCTTCTATTCCTCAATACTTCTGTGGAGGTTCTCACCCTGATGATGAATAATGCAAAAACTTTGCTAAATTAATTCTCAAAACAAATGAATTGTTCCACTGTGTTCACTTCTGTTGGTTGCTGCGTCTCTGCTACAGCTCCCATCTTGTCAGGACCTGGGCAAAACCATTTTGCTGTCAGTACATGACCTAAGTACTCACCTTCAACATCTCCAATTACATCATCTCCTTGTTCAGCTTCAGGTTTCAATTTGGTGAGCTCTCTCTAGCTGTTGCACACAATAGTGACTGTGGCTTGTGCTGCTTTCTTCCATTATGTCTCCACATCCATAAATGAGTAGATAATTATCTGGATCTGTATTCATCCCATTAAACTGGGTTCTCAGCTTCATTTGTTCCCTTGGGAATGAGTATTGTTCCACCATCTAACCCGAACCGTACCTTTGCATGCATTTGCAAAGCTCATAAAGCTGCACAATTAGCATTGCTGACTATCTAATCATTGAATCCCTACAGTGTGGAAGCAGGCCATTCAGCCCATCGAATCCACACCAACTGTCTGAATGGCGTCCCACCTTAATCCACCCCATCCCTGTAACTCTGCATTGCCTATGGCTAATCCACTGAGTCTGCACACCCCTGGACACTGTGGGCAATTTAGCACGGCCAATCCACCTACGCTGCACATCGTTGGACTGCAGGAGGAAACTGGAGCACCCGGAGGAAACCCGTGCAGGCACGGGGAGAACGTGCAAACTCCACACAGCCTGAGGGTGCAATCGAACCCTGGAGTTGTGAGGCAGCAGTGCTAATCACTGAGCCACCGTGTGACCCTATACTTCACATTTACTTGATAACTGCCTTCTGCAGTTAACAGGGATGGCACGGTGGCTCAGTGGTTAGCAATGCTGCCCCACAGTCTCAGGGACTGGGTTCAATTCCAGTCTTGGGCAACTGTCTGTGTGGAGTTTGTACATTCTCCCCATGTCTGCATGGGTTTCCTCCCAAGTCCAAAGATGTATAAGTTAGGTGGATTGGCCATATTGCCCAGGGATGTGCAGGCTATCTGGATTAGCCATGGAAAGTGTGGGGTCACAAGGATAGGATAGGGGGTGGGATGCTCTTCAGAGGGTCACTGTGGACTTGATGGGCTGAATGGCCTGCTTCCACACTGTGGGAATTCTATGATCATTCTAACAGTCACGCCCTATTGATTGCCTTCAGGCCTGAGGGTGCCTACCTGTTGTATGCAACAGGGTGCTTCATTTGAATCATTGTTGGACATCTTTCCAGGTGCCATTTTTATTGGCTTGCTTTGCCTCTTTGTCGCTAAAACACTTACACGTGAAGTGATCATCTTCTTGCAGTTAGAACACTGCTTCCCCCATACTGGACATGCTTTCCCTCTGCAATATTATCCTCTTGCCTTCATCTAACTGCTGGCCCTCTGAGAACATCATTTTCTTTTCTTTCCAGTATGTTATTCCTATTCTGCCTAGAATGGCTTGCGATATAATGCAAAGCCATTAATACACTCAGGCTGGTTACTGACAAATTCAGCATTTCTACATGTGTCGACAGCCTCCTGACTCAGCAGACCTGCTTTCATGGTCAGATCTCTTAAACTTAGGACAATCCTATGTCTGATGAGATCATCTTTCTGTTACCCAAACTCTGAGGATTCTGTTAGAAGTGTCAGTGCCATCATTACCTGATCAACAGTTTGCCCTCTCCTTCAGTTGTGACGTTGAATACAAGTACTTTCATAAGTAGCATTAATATAAGGTTCAAAGTATATCTTCAAAATCTTTCCTGTCTGGCTTCTCTATTTTTCAGCGAAATCTAGGCTGCAATACAGCTCGAAGCACTCTTTCCCCTGTACTGACAAAAGGGTTACTATTCTTAATTGTGCAGTCTTATTAGTTAATCTTGAAGATATTTTAGAGTTTTGCCATTGATTGTGGTAAACATGCCATTTCTATCTCATTGGCTCCTTTCAGGTTCACAGCATCTGGGAGTGGAAAATTCATGACCGTTCTGACTCACCCAGCACTTAGAAAGTTTTAGTTCTTTCTTGCGTTTTTGTTTACAGTAACTGACAGTCTTCCAGCTCTGAAAATCCACTCAACCGCAGCCACACACTTCCGGTTTTATGTTTCAAATGATGTACTTAATGGCTACCACAAACTAAAGTGAAAGCAAGTTCTAGCAGACAGAGATAAAATTACTGTGGAGACCCAGGTAGTATACTACGTACAAATGCATTTCTCCAAACAGGAAGGGCTCTAAATAAACATCTTGCTTTTGCAAAAAGGATGCTTCACTTTTCTCTTTGAGACAGTCACCTTTCTGTGTTTTTTTGGCATATGTGTTCAAATCAACTGAGTGCTTTGAGGAAGTTTGATGGACTTAATCCTCTCTTTAAGATGGGACATATAGTTTCCACAGAAAGGCACGATTGGAAAAGAGACAGATTTCAGTGGGGTTGTTAAATCGTGAATGACCTTCACAACACCAGGAGAAATTCTTATCATATTCTTTTCCCAAACAGTTTTTTTATAAAGAGAAGCTACTTGACTGAATAATGGCTTTTACCTTTATTATTACGCATTTCCTGTTCAAGGTGAATTCCCCTCTGCTCCAAATCATGGAATGTCTGTTCAATCTCTTCCAACCGCCTCTGAATCATCTGTGGTACACAGAGAAAACGCTGGGAAAATGCAGGCTTGACAACAGGGAAACACAGGCCAGTGCTGGGAAAACACAGGCTGCAAACTGGGGAAATGTAAGCCTGGACCCAGGACAACGCATGCTCCAAACCAGGAAAACACAGGCTTGGCACCGGGAAAAGACAGGATCGGCATCAGGAAAACATAGGCTCGAAGCTGGGGAATTGCAGGCTGGAGACCAGGAAAAGTGAGGCCTAACTTGGTATGAGGTCACGTGCTCTCTGGCCTGGGTGTGTCACATCTCAGACCCGCCCTCATTCTGTCTCCATGTATTGGGGTAGCAGGGAAGTCACAGCACACTAAGCAGGCCAAATGTGTAATCCAAATGGTAGGCTGTGAGGAGAGTTTTAAAGGGGGTGAGGATGGGGGTCAGGGATTTATGAAGGGAATTGTAGAGCATAGGACCTCGAAGGAATCACATATCCTCCATGTGTCATGACACAGCAATGACCTCAGGTCAACGGGAGGTCGAATGTAAATGGTAAGGGGATTTTCAGAATCAAACACAGTGCGATCCAACTGCTCTGTGGTCCTGCTCCATCACTTCCAACATCAAATCTGAAGTCACCATGTTGCTGTGTCTGTTGGTAAGGTAGAGTTTCAGTTAAATGATTCAGCGATGAAGAGGGAATGTAGTTGGGCAGTCTGGAATAGTCTGGCAGTCGAGGACACAGCTAATATCCCACATTACCTGAGCTTTTGCAAACCTCGCCATTTCTTCCTGCCTCGCACGCCTTTCAAATGTTCTCAGTTTCCACGTTTGCCGCCTTGCTGCAAACTCCTCTGGAGTCAGCTCCTAGGAGACAGGGAACAATTCTCTTATGGTTAACCTCAATTTATACCCTTTAAATGTCGTTTCTGTACTGCAGGTCATCTAACTGAGGTGTACCAGGTAGAACCGGACAAAGAGCCTCACATCAATTGCTGCTCACTGCTGGTCAGTCAGCTGGTTAGACATTCTCCGAAAGCACTCGTAAAATCATAGAGCTGTACAGCACAGAAACAGCCCTTCGGTCCAACTCGTCCATGCCAACCAGATATCCTAAATTAATCTAGTCCCATTTGTCAGTATTTGACCCTCTAAACCCTTCCAATTGATATACACAATCCAGATGCCTTTTCAATGTTGTAATTGTACCAGCCTCCACCACTTCTTCTGGTAGCTCATTCCATACACGCACCACCCTCTGCATGAAAAAGTTGCCCCTTAGGTCCCTTTTAAATATTTTCCCACTCACCTTAAACCTATGCCCTCTAGCTTTGGACTTCCCTACCCTGGGTAAAAGACCTTGGCTATTCACTCTATCCATGCCCATCATGATTTTATGAACTCCTATAAGGTCACCCCTCAACCTCCGATGCTCCAGGGAAAATAGCTCCAGCCTATTCAGCCCCTCCCTGTAGCTCAAACCCTCCAATCCTGGCAACATCTTTGTAAATCTTTTCTACACCCTTTCAAGTTTGATATCTTTCCTATAGCAGGGAGATCAGAACTGAACACAGTATTCCAAAAGTGTCCTAACTGATGTCCTGTACAGACACAACATGACCTCCCAACTCCTATACTCAATCCACTGCCCAATAAAGCCAAACATACCAAACACCTCCTTCACCTCCCTGCCTACCTGCGACTCCACCTTCAAGGAACTATAAACCTGCAGCCCAAGATCTCTTTGTTTGGCAACACTCCCCAGGGCCCTACCACTAAGTGTATAAGTACTGCCCTGGTTTGCCTTCCAAAATGCAACACTTCACATTTATCTAAACTCCATCTGCCGCTCCTTGGCCATTGGCCCATCTGATCAAGGTCCCATTTTAGTCATAAATAACCTTCTTCACTGTCAAATACATTTTCAGTTTTGGTGCCATCAGCAAACTTACTACCCATTCCACCTATATTCACATCCAAATCATTTATATACCAGGTGCAAACTCGTGAAATCCATGTCTCCCTACTGTCTCACCCAGTGGTCACTCTGCATGGCTACGTCTGGACAATATCAGCAGGATAAGAGACCACATTATGGCCAAGTCCCCCCTGTATACCTCCCACAGGGATTGAGCAAGAGCTATCAGGAGGATGAAGCTCGGCTTGTGTTTTTCTTTCTTAATGCCAGACACCAATTTCCTTGTGTTCAGCTTAAAACTAAATCAGGAAGATGCTGATGTCAGTCAGAGTCAAACGAGACAGAAAAACAACTTTTTCCAACAGATATGTAAAGTGACCACAGGTCCAAGCAGACCATTGGGCTGCTCTCTCATTAGAGTGAGAGATGACTGGTGGTAGTTTAACCTGAGGGTTGAGAAGGAGAGTCCTTCATAGTAACCTTAGTGCCAGGATTGAACCCAGGCTGTTGGCATCGTGCTGCATTGCAAACCAGCCATCCAGCTAACGGAGCTAACTGACCCCTAACAGAGAGCAATATGTGATGAAATAAATATCAATTAAAATAATAACATGATGAATTTAAAACTGATTTATGAGTCTGCAGTCAGAATAGAAAAGAGCAGCGAGAATCAGCACAGTCTACTCTCTCCGAACAATTGTTGGCAACTTAGTGCCTATTGCCATTCAGTTTCAAACAGTTGAACACTGTGACCTTATATCCCTTAGCTGATGGAAACTGTGGTTTTGTGTAGAATCCTCAAGATGAACAACAGAGCGCATCTGCATCCTGTCAGTCTAGGCAGGATCAAAACTCAGGGCCGGCTGGGAGAGGAGGGAATGGGGGTGCTGGGAAAGCTTTCTGCATTAGTGCGACTGTCAAAACAGCCAGCAGTGTGTTTTACACCAATCCTCATTTTACTTCCACTGACCTCTGTCATAAAAGCCACGAATTATCACCAGCTTTTCACAGGCATAAGTCCAAAAATGAAATATTGTAATAAACTATATCATTAGGTCAGAAAAGCTCTTCACTGGGCTGAGGGGTGTGGAATACACTGCTTGGAAATGTGGTGGAAGCAGGTTCAACGGAGGCATTCAGAGGGCTTTGGGTGATTATGACTTAAACTTAGACTTCCCTACAAAGTGGAAACAGGCCCTTTGGCCCAACAAGTCCACACCAACTCTCAGAGCATCCCACGCAGACCCATCCCCCTATAACCCACGTAATCTGGAAATGGTGTACAGGGATATGGGGAAAAGGCAGGAGATTGGCACTAGGAGCAGATGGGCACAATGGGCTGAATGGCCACCTTCAGCACCGTAACAATCCCGTTGCTTCACAAGAGTGAAGGCCCGCAACTTTAACCTAACTTGCATAGGGCCAACTCTTCATTGATGTCACTGAAGTAACATTGGACAGCATACAAACACAGCATGGCACTGGATTCCAGCATTCTCTCATGTGCAAATTGCCTCCAATATTAGGCCCGAACATAGAGTTTTGATGAAAAATTGGGAAGGAAATGTCATCATCTCTCAGATGAGCATTCACTTGTGTTAATTCAACCCTAAGCCCAAGGTCAAGTTTGGAACTGGAAGAGAATACTTTTCAGTAGACAATAGGTTTGTAAACAGAATACAGCATTACACATATCTGTTCCCTACTAGCTATCTCCTATGCCCCTGAAGTCTCTCTTCATTATTTTATTTCTCTTTTCCGATGTGTTACAAGACACCTCCATGGTCAACGCATCCTGATGAATGACTTAAACTCAGACTTTCTGTCCCAACCTCTCTTAACTAGTGTTCGCAGAATCCCTACAATGTGGAAACAGGCCATTCAGCCCATCAAGTCACACTGATCCTCTGAAGAGCATCCCACCCAGACTAACCCCATCCCTATAATCCTGCATTTAGCATGGCCAATCCACCTAACCTGCACATCTTTAGACTATGGGAGGAAACCCATAGCAGTCACAGGGAAAATGTGCAAATACCACACAGACAGTTGTCAGAGGGTGGAATTGAACCTGGGATCCCAGCAATTTTGGGGCAGCTGTGCTAACCACTGAGTCACTATGAACTACCCTGTTCTAGGTTTTGTGTTTTTTTAAATCAACATCTTCAGAGCTGTTATGTTGCAGACATGTCATTACATTTCTCTGGAGCAGGTGGAACTTGAACCAGGGCCTCCTGGCTCAGAAGTAGGGACACTACCACTGTACCACAGAAGCCCCAAAACGTGCTCTAGATACTTTATGAAATAATGCTATTCACTTATGCATCTTAACAATATAATTAACATACCATTAACAAATTGTACTCACAGTTTTGATTGGCTCAGTGTTAGATTTCATCTCATCTTCGCTAAGAGACTCATCTTCATCGTCATCTGATTGTTCATCACCACTCAAATTACACTGTTTCACTGGATAACAGAATCACAGAATCACACAGTAAGATACCTGACTCTTGTGACAGATGAGGCACATTACAATTGAACCTCAGCGTAAGCCAGGTTGGATCAAGTTTTGAGGCACATATACTTAGTCACTGAGTACACTCAAGAAGACATCAGTAAGGGGTATTGGCACAAAAACAGAAATTGCTGGAGAAATTCATCAGGTCTGGTAGAGAGAAAGCAGAGTCAATATTTCAAATCCAGTGACCCTTCATCAGAACTGATTGTAGCTGGGAAAGGTGGCATATATACTGAAGATAGAGTTAGTGCATGGTGGGTGATGGAATAAATGGTAGGTGGATATGGAGCCCAGAGAGAGAGGGAGAGAGGAGGGGGGTGGACAGAGAAAGAGAGAGAGAAAGAACAGCAAATAGGCAGAGAAAGGGATGATAACGGTGAGCCTGGGAGAAAGAAAATTTGCTACTGGGGACCATCAGTGGCTGAGAACGGGTTGGCTGTGCTGAAAGCAGCCCATGTGATGACAGGACCTGGGGCGTGGGGGTGGGAAAAGGACATGGAAGAAGCTACTATAATTTAACTCGATATGGAGTCCTGAATGTTGCAGGGTCCTCAAGTGGAAAATTCTTCCAGCTTCTGCTAAGCTTTCCTGGAGCAGTACAGCCAGCCTGAGACAGAGATGTTGGCCAGAGAACATAGTCTGCAAAAACGACCCTAAGCTTCCGGTTGCCTGCCACTTCAACATTCTCTGTCTCGGGCCTACTGCAGTGTTCCAGCGAAGCTCAGCACAAGTTGAAAGAAAAGCATTTCATTTTCCGCTTGGAAACCCTGCAGCCTTCAGGACTCAATATCAAGTTGAATAACTTCAAGGCTGGAGCACCTTCTCCTATATCCTTTCCCCAACCCCACACCCCAGGCCCTGTCATCACACGGGCTGCTTTTAGCACAGCCAACCTGTTCTCGGCCACTGATGGTCCACATTAGCAGCTTTTCTTTCTCCCTGGCTCACCATTATCCATCCCTTTGTCTGCCCGACTGCTGTTCTCTCTCTCTCTGGGTACCATCTCCACCTGTCATTTATTCCTCCCCATCCTCTGTATATATACCAACCTTTTCCCAGCTATAATCCAAACTGAAGGAGGGTCGCTGGAACCTGAAACATTGATTCTACTTTCTGCTCACAGATGCTGCCAGACCTGCTAATTTTCTCCAGCAATTTCTGTTTTTGGTTCAGATTTCCAACATCTGCAGTTCTTTGTTCTGTGTGAAAGGATATTGGCACTGTGTGGAAAGGGGTGAAGTTCAATTACTAGCCATGATCTTGTTGGAACAAGCCAAACAGCCAACTCTAGTTCTTATACACCTTTCAAATAGAAGCGTTATACTAATTAGATATATGTTACTATGCCCACAGTGTTCATACCATTGAAGATCAACTAATATCATCATCTCCACGACCAACATCACTTGAGCTTCTATTTGGTGTTAGCTCCCTCTGATACAGTGACACAACAGACAGATATATTTAGACCACATTGACACAATGAGACACAGACTCTCAGACTAGTTGTAGAAGTATTATCAAGGTGAATGCTCAGATTTGACCAAATACTGTGTAGCAATGTGGTATTCATACAATGGCCTAGGATACATTTGTGGGCCTAAAAATAGTTGCTGAGTCATTGTGTTTGTGACTTCATCTCATTTTATTTCAGCCCATATTTTTCCTGGTTTCTCCTAATTATACACAGAATAATGGACAGGCCCTTGGGCTAGCTCTGCCATTTTATAAAGGTTATAGCTCATCTGGTTGTGGTCTCACTTCCACTTTCCAGTCTGCCCCTCTTCCACACCTCCCCATAAAGCCTTGTCTCCCTTGCATATGCAAAGATCCAGCCTGATATAATTGACCATACTGATGGAGGGGAGGCATGTGGCTAGAGATTTAGAAATGCTCTGCTCATTTATAAGCATTGGGAGTTTGGCAGTCTGAAGACATTGTTGACATAAAGACAGTCTGAAGTTGGCCACAGGTCACCGCCACAAATGAACAATCTTACCCAGAGAAACCAAAGTGACTGGGCAAGGGGAAATCTAACTTAAGCTTCTGCTTTAGGGAGTTTGTTGTCTCAGAATGAAGTGTATAGCAATTATTAGGAGGCTGTATCTATCCCCAGTGTGGCACCTCACCCAGGAGGGCCAACATTCAGCTGGGCAGAAGAACTGATGTTGAGCTCCTGCAGTGCATTTTTTTATTCACTCATGGGATGTAATCTGTGGTTGCCCGAGAGAAGGTGATGTTGAGCCTGTCTTCTTTAATTGCTGCAGTGCATTTGGTGTAGGCATGCCCACAATGCCTATTCTATATTACACTGTGCCTCTCTTTCTACATACGCTATTGCTGGCCATGCATGCAGGATGCAACAAAAGATAAGATCATGTGCCAGTTGCATTTCAGCCTTCCGAGTGGTCCGCTGCAGAATGAAAGCAGAGTAACGGCTGTCAGGATTCACTAGCCCTGGACACATGGTTGCACGCTGAGCAAGTGAAATTCCCCCTCAGTCATGGCAGAAGGCGGAATGGGCACATAGCACCTGCAATGCCATCTGGGTGTTGCCAATGGCTTCCTGCATCCTAGCGACATTTGCAATCCTGCTGAAGCCACATATTCGCTCAGTCTGCTTAATGTTGGCAAGAGACACCGGGATGGAGTTAGCCATCATTGAACTGAAGCATCAAGAACTCCCTAATATAGCAACGGATGACAAACTGTGAGATGTTGCTAGGACCTCTGATCTTCAGCCTGGAAGAAGCCAGTAAAAGGTGATAGCCCCAACCACTTTCAGAGACATTGGCAATGCAGTTACCCTGCTCTGAGTTCGCAGTAACAGCAGCAGATAGAAGGTGTCTTTACTCAAGTGCAGATGTCTCACACGGAAACCTTATTGAGGCTTCAGTCTGAAACTTTCTCCCAGGAACTCCTGGGCAGATATAAGCGCCTTTCTTCCTCTTCTAACAGCTCTGTGTTACCTCGGCCTATTCACCAAGTCATGCTTTGGTCTTAAGAAATAGATCTACTAACGCTCCCATCTCTGGGAGCAACAGTTTATGCAGAAGCCGTGATGTCAGCAAACACTCTTTTAGCACTCGCCACACCACTTCCTGCTAAAATTTGCAACTTCAACTAGCTACAGAAAGCATTAAAACATTTATAGACTTGAAGTTACAACCAGAAGTAATTCATCAGCCACTATAAATAGTTGCAAGCCCCCTTTAAATAGCCCTGTTCACAGAGCTGCTGAACTCAATCTGTTGTGTGGATTTAAGGATATTTGCTGGAGCCTTCAGCTCCAAGATTATACATCAACTGGTGCCAAACTCCAGCTACTCTGTTTACTTCCAGCAACCATTCGTTGCATGTACTGTCTAGTGTAATTCATATCAGACTGGGGTCAGGCAATGGCCTAGTGTTATTATTACTGTACTGCCAATCCCAAGATACAGATAATGTTCTAGATACCTGGGTTCAAATCCCACCATGGTGGAATTTGAATTCAATTTTAAAAAAACTTAAATCAGGAGTTTAATGCTGACCATTGTTGATTGTTGGAAAAATCCATCTGGTTCACTAATGTCCTTTAGGGAAGGAAGCTGCCATCCTTATCTGGTCTGGCCTACATGTGACTCCAGACCCACAGCAATGTGGTTGACCCTTAACTGCGTCCTGGGCAATAAATGCTGGCCTAGCCAGCAAGGCCCTCATGCCATGAATGAATAAAAAATGCTCAGTTCAAAACTTTAACTTCTGTTTGTCTCACCACAGATGCTGCCAGCCCTGATGAGTTTCTCCAACACCGCTGTTATTCCTTCAATTCAGCTACTTGAGTACTGTTGATTTTAATCACTCTGCCATTGCTCGCTGCACTAACTGTTGTTCATATGCTGGAATTCCCTCCCTATACCTCTCTGCCACACTGTCCTCCTTTAAGACAAACTCATCTTTTTCACTAAACTTCTGGTCATCTAACCTAATATCATCTCACCTGGGTCAGGTCATTTTCACAATTCTGTGAAAAACCTTCGGCCATTTCTTTATATTAAAGGCATTATCTAAAAACCTGTCGTTGTTGGAGTGTTATAATTTGTTTTCAATTCATTCATGGGACATGATCACATCCAGCATTTATTTCCCATCCCTAGTTATCCCAGAGGGCAGTTAAACATAAAACATAGAACAGTACAGCACAGTACAGGCCCTTCGGCCCACAATGTTGTGCCGACCTATTATCCTACTAAGATCAAACTACCCTGCATGCCCTACATTATACTTTCATCCATGTGCCTATCCAAGAGTCGCTTAAAAGTCTCTAAAGTATCTGACTCCACTATCTCTGCCGGCAGTGCATTCCACACGCCCACCACTCTGTGTAAAGAACCTACCTCTGACATCTCCCCTATACCTTCCTCCAATCACCTTAAAATTATGCCCCCTCGTAATAGTCATTTCCGCCCTGGGAAAATGTTTCTGGCTATCCACTCTATCTATGCCTCTCGTCATCTTGTACATTTCTATCACGTCACGTCTCATCCTTCTTCGCTCCAATGAAGAAAGCCCTAGCTCCCTCAACCTTTCCTCATAAGACCTGCCCTCCAGTCCAGGCAGCATCCTGGTAAATCTTCTCTGCACCCTTTCTAAAGCTTCCACATCCTTCCTATGAGGCGACCAGAAATGAACACAATATTCCAAGTGTGGTCTAACCAGGGTTTTATAGAGCTGCAGCATAACCTTGCAGCTCTTAAACTCAATCCCCTGCCAATGAAAGCCAACACACCATACGCCTTCTTTACAACTATCAACTTGGGTAGCAACTTTGAGGGATCTACGGACGTGGACCCCAAGATCCCTCTGTTCCTCTGCATGGCCAAGAATCCTGCCATTAACCCTGTATTCTGCTTTCAAATTTAACCTTCCAAAATGAATCACTTCACACTTTACTGGGTTGAATTCCATCTGCCACTTCTTTGCCCAGCTCTGCATCCTGTCAATGTTCCGTTGCAACCTACAACAGCCCTGCACACTATCCACAACGCCACCAACCTTCGTGTCATCGGCAAACTTACTAACCCACCCTTCCACTTCCTCATCCAAGTCAAATATAAAGATCATAAAGAGCAGTGGTCCCAGAACAGATCCCTGAAGAACACCACTGGTCACCGAGCTCCAGGCTGAATACTTTCCATCTACTACCACCCTCTGTCTTCTATTGGGCAGCCAGTTTTGTATCCAGACAGCCAAATTTCCCTGAATCCCATGCCTCCTTACTTTCTGAATGAGCCTACCATGGGGAACCTTATCAAATGCCTTGCTAAAATCGATATACACCATATCCACTGCTCTGCCTTCATCAATGCATTTTGTCACATCCTCATAGAATTCAAAAAGGCTTGTGAGGCATGACCTGCCCCTCACAAAGCCATGCTGACTATTTCTAATCAAACTGTGCTTTTCCAAATACTGTCTCTCAGAATCCTCTCCAATAATTGGCCCACCACAGAAGTAAGACTGACTGGTCTGTAATTCCCAAAGTTATCCCTATTCCCTTTCTAGAACAAGGGAATGACATTTTCCACCCTCCAATCATCTGGTACTACTCCAGTGAATAGTCAACCATATTGCTGTGGGTCTGGCGTGACATTAGTTAGACCAGGTAAGGATGACAAATTTCCTCCCTGTAGGGGATTAGTGAACCAGGTAGGATTTTATGATATTTGACAGCAGTTACACAATTGTCATTATTCTAGCTTTTTAATTTAGATTTTATTGAATTCAGATTTCAGCATTGACTATGGTAGGATTTGAACCAATATCCTCAGAACATTAGCCTGGGGGTTCTGGAAAACTAACCTACTGACATTACCACTACACCAGTCCCTTCCCCAATTTGTTAGAGTTTCTCTGGTTTAGGCTGGGAATAAATACACTACTGTTCCTGCTTTGGATCAATGTGCAATCACCTTTCAGGGGATCATGGTATGTTTGAACGTAACCAGGATCCATTGTGGTATCTATGGGATCAACGAGCCAGTATGTATGAACTGTCAAGGTTCGCACATGAACTTAAGCAGAAAATCCTCCGTACCTCTGCATTGTTATACCCTAACAGTTGTTCTCTTTCAAAGAGAAGATCAGAGAAAATGGGTGAAGAAAATCAAAAAGATTACTCATATAATCACATTTGAGCAAATAGGAATGGATCTTATGAATGAGAATTTCTGATGCAGAACTTTACACAACAGGAGAACTGAAAATCATCATTGCAAGGAAATCATAAGCGCCAATCTGCAAGAAGCTCTTTGGTTTCGGTTTCATAATCTGTGCTACTGCTCTCTGAGGGTCACCCTTCTGATACGCCTAGTTGTACATTACTGAGTGTTAAGCTATATGATATATGGACCAAAGACATTCGGGAAAAGAGGTGATACATATCATCTGTACGTGTTTCACCATAAGATATCAATTTGGTATCAATAAAAATTCTAACAAAAAGACAATGAAGTGAAGAATAGCTCTTGGATAGCTTTCTCATGGAGATGACCATGTCCTTGTCTTCATTGAGCAATAAAACGCAATTACTAGGCCATCACCCTAAATATCAGAATGATGCTGGGGGAGATAAGCTTCAGATGCCATTCCCAACACACGCCTCATCCTCTCAAATGTCCATCTAAAATAGCTTTAAATGTGCGGGAATGGCGCGTGCTTAGTCTGATGCGTGACATTGTCTTGGTATCAGGGACACATAATGAAATGACAATGATGCCATGCATAACTGGTGTCAGACACACTTAGTCACATGACAGACATGGAATATAAACATATACTGTATTGCTGCTCATTTAAACTATCTGCTTCGTGCTCGGGAAATTAAAGAGGAGACATGAAATTGGGAATTCTAAATGCAGGGAATTCACAGTCTTTAAGTTTGGTAATATGAAATGCTGTTGAATTTTTTTTACAGTATGGGGACAGTAATTTGTAGCTTTCATTTGAGTGAGGGAGTCATTTTCAGTGTAGGGACCACCTAACTGCTGAATTCAGATTGGCCTTAAAGAAGTGGTCAGTTTAAACAATCCAGCAAACCTTACTAAAGAATATCCCTATGTATATTTTACAGAAGGCTTTAGATGGTTCAGAAAATGCTTTGCAGAAGAGAATGTTATCCTTTTCAGAAGCAGGAAAATGATGCAGAACGGCACAGATTAATAGTTTGAAGTTTCACTCGGTTCAAAGACAAAAATACAGAACAGTTAGAAAATCTCCTTTTATTCCATCATTAGCAGGGTGTCCTTGAAGGCTGGCTTGCAGATAAGCACCTGTCTGAGAAAGAGGACACATTTGTAAAGTCACTGCATTAAAAATAATTGCAAGGGCAAAACAATTAAACCAGTGTTGGATGATAACTGTGTAATGTAACTTTTTTTCTAAATCGACTGCATGTCTCAAAAGGTATAAAAAGTGGAATTTGGAGCAGATGCTTTGGAACTTGATTAAAGGATTGATTGGTGAAGTTTGGAACAGTCATGTCTTAGGTTCACTGACTATAAATTTTTGTATTGAGTGTTTCTGTTAAATATATCTTTATTGTATGTTTAATAAATTTTGACATTCTGGATGGTATTTTATAAATAAGAAGTGCTCAACACCTGGCACTTCTTTTGAAGAGGGCAGTTCTGTGGGGGCAGTTTTGGAGGGTGCAATCTCCTGGGGGCAGCTCTAGGGGGTACAGTGGGCAGTATGCTCTGTGGGGTGCAGCTCTGAATGCCAGTTCTCTGCCCAACATCAAGCAGAGACACTGAAGATTGGCAGCACAGATCCATCTTGGTAACACACATCCCTCACTTCATACCCGGATACCTGAATGATGAGTGCTTTCTGATCTCCATCCCATATGAATAGCCTGCATTTTAAGAAGTGGTCTGTGAACTTATTCTTATCTACAAGCATGGGAAATCTCATACTTAGAAAGGCTGTAAGTAGAACAGCATTGCCTCTGAATGTTTAGTGGACTGATTCAACCCTAAGGTTACTCATGCTGGTTAGCACTGGGGAAGTACTGCTCTGTTTGCTGGGTGGACTAACATTATAAATATTGGCCTCAAACGATCCACTGATAAGTAATTCATATGAAGTCACAAACCAGTGCAATAAGAACATGTTCTTCATCAAACCACTTACAGTATCACTGTACAGAGCCCCAGAGAAGTCCGTCCCTGCTGTCCCTTATCACTAGGAAATGGAATACAAACATACACACAGGCCTCAAAAATCCTTACCTTCCTTCTGAGCAGATGATACCTGGATTGTTGGTATCTCTGCCTTTGCCACAGGAGGAGTAGAACTTGCACGTTTTTCTTCATTTTTCTTCTCTCTTCTCGATAAACGAGAAAATGGTTTGGGTAAAGAGAAGAACTTCAATTTTGATTTATTTGGTGTTTCAGAAGCTAAATCTTTCCCAGTTGGTTTTCCATTGGGTTCTAATTCCCCTGTGCGTTTAGCCTTTGGGTTTTCAAGTTTGTTCTTGCTGTGTGCGAGTTGAGCTGAATTTGAACTAGGTGTCTCCTTCAGGTCAGGCTGGGATGTGTCCCAATACACCTGACTTTTTATCTCCTGCTCTTTCAGACTTCTGCTGTCTTCTTTGCTAAGGACTATTGAGGGATGATCCAATATTTCCCATTCCTTGTCCGAGTCCCCAGGCTCAAAATCAGCAGAAGCTTCTCCTTTTCCCGGACAAAGCTTCACATCATCAAATTGTGTCGTGTCATCAATATGAATTCTGGGCTGTGTCCTCTCTTCCTGGCTTTCTGAGTCAGTGTCTGAGCTTACACTCAGTCTGGCTAGCTTACGTTTGAGGGATGCTGAAAGACCAAGTTTCTTCATTGGGCTGTTGCAATTACTTTCCTCCTCATCCATGGATGATTTATTCACGTCAAAATACATCAAAGCAAGTTCCTTTGAAAGGCAGCTTAATTCTATCTTCCCTTCAGTATCCTCTACATTCTCGCTCTTAGGCTGAACCTCTGGTATGTCACCTATCCTTTCATTTGGGAAGGCTCCTTTACTATCAGCAGCATACTTTGTCCTGTTGACATCTCCCAGATCCAAGGGTTTGGCAGGATACAAAAGCAGACTCTCAGTGGCATTTGACTCAAAATTCTCAGGACACGGCTTGGACGTTTTATCAGGAGTTGAACTCCTTTGAGAGACAGCAAGACTCTCAGTGTTGCTACCAGATGGAATGCCCAGGAATTTAGTAGAGAAAGATGTGTTTTTTGTGTCACTGAGAGGAGATGCAGTTGTTGAGAATGGTGTTTGTTCACCATAACCTGTTATGTCTGCTTCACTGGTTGGTTTTTTGTAATCCATTGAGTTCCTTTCAGATCCTGCGGTAAAGTTGGAGTCAGTGTTAGATCCACCTGTTATGGACATCCCATTGCTGGGCCACTGCTGCTTTACCACAGTATGAGATACAATAGCCTGTGGATTTTCACAAGAATGGAAAGATGACAAAAACAATGGATCATTAGAAATGGGGCATTTCCAGAGTGAGTGAAGTTGCTTTAATTCACTATGATTTATTGCCTATTAGAGAGAATTAGGCTGACAATGCTGAGGTTATCTGAGCAATGGGTTAAAACAGTGCTTAGGGACAGTTTAATAGAAAAACCTATTGCAATACTATTGTCAGCAACGCTGAGCGATACAGTGGTTAAAGATATTCTAGGCTAGTGATTAATTCTAACAAAGAGGAACATGAAAAATGTGAAAGAAGAATAGGAAGTTGATTCATAATCAGATGTACTCCGCGAATAAATTTCTTCAAATGCCTTCTGTCCAAATTTCCAAATAGGTCTACGGAACCTCACTGCAAATAGTGACTAGCCTTTATAGTGATGGGAATCATATGTATTCCTGACATTCAAATTAGGGACATTGTGCTCTTTAAGTTAGCAGGTTGAGATGAGGAGCCAAGTCCATTGTACAGGATTCCAGTAAGAATATATAAGGTTGAAAGGAGGACACAAAAAGAAAGTGACTAAGCATTGCCACGTTTGAGTGTTAAAGTCTGACAGTGCAATAAAGCGCAAGGATGGAGGGAAGCAGTGAGTTTGGAAATTTGGATCTTGAAATGACTAAAAGAGAAAGCTCAACGTGACAGCAAGAAGGAGCCGTTCATGAAATGAAACTTTCAACTTGGAAGAACAAGAGAAGTAAAACAAAGTGAGACACAAAAGGTTTGCAAAAGACAGAGGAAAGACACTGGAGTGGGAGCAGCACGGATCATCAATTAACAGGCATGTTCTTGCACTTTTTTCAGGAGTGCAACAGGCATGATACTGCACGAGACAACAATCAGCAGACAACACGCAGCTCAAACTGAGAATGAGGGCCTGACGATGGTTCAGGTACATTGAAAAAGATGTAGCAGTCTTCTTGTAATTAGAATACGTAGTAATTCAGATGAATAAACTTCCTCTTAAACGCACAAATTTTTTTCACTTACTATACATTTCAGATATTGTAATAGATGCAGCAACGTACACCTAATGGTGTCACTTAATTGATGTGGTCTCTTTATGAACACACACAACTTTGCTGTTTTGGTACATTGACTACATTCTCAGAAAGCAGTACTAACTGGGAAATGGATCAGTGTCATCTTCAACACAGGAGGAAGTGGGCAGTCTCAATTCCTAGAACGACTTTCTCCAAAACCTCTGTTCCAAGTTGCTCATGGTAGCAACCTCAGAAAGACATTCAAACTCCAAAAATGATACGAGTATCTTTCTTTGTTTCAATCTGGAGTGAGAAAGTGCAGTTCCCCACTGCTTGTAGTGGCTGCATTGGTGTAAATGCAATTTGCGCATTGAATTCAATCATAGGACTAACGATTTAACACAATTGTAATTTAAGGTCAATATAATAAGACCAATTACATCTCAAAATCATGGACCATCTATAAATTATAGGGGAGGGCTCCTGTGCAGCAGTAGTGTCCCTACCTCTGAACCAGGAGGCCCAATTTCAAGTCCCACCTGCTCCAGAAGTGTAACATTTCTTAGCTAGTTGATTAAAACTATTTACATATCATAGGAAATTCATAAGTCTGTCTACAACAGAAGAAAAAGAATGCAGGAAAAGTTAAGCAAATTAGAAGGGTGTAAATACATGAAAAAGTTAATTGATATGACTTCTGCATTCAGAGCATCTTAACAAAATGTGAAATGGAAACTAAACACAGCTCCTAATGCCTAAAGCCAGCAGAGCACGAGACACACTTTAAGCAGAAGCTTGATGTTAATGCGAGTAACTAATGGCCAATATAAGCAGCTGCTAATTTTAAATGTAGATGCAGTTTTAAGTGGTGGGCATTATAATGCCTTCTCAATCGTTAGTATTCTGTAAAACAGAGTTAGCGTCATTTCAAATCATATCACAGCACATGCTTCATTCACAAGGCTCATACTTTGCTATCTAAAGTATTTTACTGGACCCAATATAATACTCTCAGCAGTACACTGAATCGCAAAGCATCCTGACACAAGAATAGCAAGCGCTGAATAAGATGGTACCTGATCCGTATCCCATGCAGGGCTCTTGCCAGGTGATGTAAGATGCCTCATGATAGGCACTCTGCTATGTTCTGCACATTCATGAGCACCTTATCACAAAGGTAGATGAATACGTTAGGGGCAAACTTAGTTTATACCTTCATATGCATTTGAAACTGTTATGTCACAGAATAATAGCCAGTGACAGTGCAGCAGCTGGAGCTCTGGTGTGCTTTTGCTACAGGGAAGTAGGATGTGATTTTGCAATATTCAATTCTCTATGTTCCTGATCTCAGCCGTACTGGGGGAGTGATGTGCAAGTGCCAGCTGGCTGGACTGGACCGCTCCTTGACAAATTCTAGCAGCTGCTTTCAGATGGCAAGGGACGGATTAACTACCCACTCCTCGGGTTGAGAGTGGTTTGATCATTGGGTTATCCAGGAAAAGGGAAGAGAAGATAACACAAAAGAGGAATTCTGAACTCAACGGAGATTAAAGTTACAGCTGTGTTTGGATTCAATAAACAGACCAGTAAAGGCTTCAGAACAAAGCTTGCATCCTTTGACTGAAACTCAGAAGTAGATTATGACCATGAGCTGACATCAGGCTGCAAGGACACAAGAACAGGAGAAAACCATTCAGCCCCTTTCAGCATTGAATGAAATTGTGGCTGATCAGCCTCCAAAAACTCCATAAAAATACATCAGTCCCACTTCTGATATTTTTAATGGATTCTCCAGCATCATTAGTTGGGATTTCCTTTGGAAGCCAAAGAAATTCTGGACCACAAACAGTATATTTGTTTCATCCCATCTCAAATTGTTCTCGCAAATGCCCACATTTTCTTTCATGTCATCAATACACATTCACCACTAACAATCTCAATTATTTAATTTCAGGAATACTCAATTTCTGTACTAAAGAACAATGGGGTGACACAATATTATTCATGATGTGGAGGTGCCAGTGTTGGACTGGGGTGGACAAAGTCAGAAGTCACATGGAACCAGGTGATGAAGGGGCTATGCTCCGAAAGCTTGTGATTTCAAATAAACCTATTGGACTATAACCTGGTGCCATGTGATTTCTGAAAATATTATTCAAGCAGGGTTACTGACAAATGACCCAGCAGAGAGTCTTGGCTAATTCTGTAGTTGGATATTGAGCAGACAAAAAAAAAGGAAAAGCAAATATCGCAGATCCTGAAATAAAACTGATAATGCTGGAGAACAGTCAAGAGGTCCAGCAATATCTGTTGACAGTGGTTAATGTTTCCTCTTGAGAGGCTGCCAGACAGTACTTTCTGTCTATATTACATTCTCATGTCTCAGAGAGAAAAAAAAGATCTGGAAAATGTTGCCAAAAGATGAAGATGAAAACCTAAATTGGTAATGCAAGCATGTGGTCCAAATCTGTGTCCAGTGGCATACGGTAGGGTTTGGTGCTTCGTCTCTTGCTGTTTGCAGTATACAGTAATTATATTGATATAGGAGGTTTAATCAGTTGTTTGCAGACAACATGGTAAACAATGAGGAGGAAAGCCTTACACTACAGGACAATACAGATGGGCTGGTCAAGATGGTCTGTATGGAGGAATGTAATTTAATCCAGAGAAGTGTACAGTGACCTACTTTGGGAAGACTAACAAGGCAGGGGAGCGGACATTGAATGGTAGAACTTAGGAAGTACACAGGATCAGAGGGACCTTGGTATACATAATCAACCGATCTCTGAAGGCAGCAGGGCAGGTAGATAAGATGGTTACAGCAGCATTTGGCATTCTTGCCTTTATTAGTTAAGGCATTGAATACAAGAGCAGGGACGTTATGATGGAGGCGTAGAAGACAGTAGTTAGGCCACACAGCTGGAGTACAGTGTGTAGTTCTGGTCACCACACTATAGGAAGAATGTATCGGACTGTACAGGATACAAGGCAGATTCATCAGGATGGTATCTGAGCTGGCATGTTTCAGCTCAGAAGAGAGACTAGATAGTCTGGGGTTGTTTAGTTTAGGACAGAGAAGGCTGAGGTGGACCTGACTGAGGTATACTGAATTATGAGGTGCACAGATAGAAATAAGCTTTTGTCCTTAGTAGAGGGGTCAATGACTAGGGGGTATAGATTTAAAGTAAGGGGCAGGATGTTTACAGGGCGTTTAATGAAGATTTCTTCCATGGTGGTAGATTTCTGAAACATTAACCAGCAATGTGAGGACATATGGGCAAGAAAGAAGCAATGAATATCTGTAGAAGAAACAACTACATAAGCTGAGTGCACAAGATTTACGTTAATCTATGAGTAAGTGACATGCTTACGCTTATTAATGTCAAATGAAAGAAGCAATACACCTCAGGCATTACAGCAACTTGCCCTGTTCTCGTCAGACCTATACCTTGCGCTGTTTTTCTTCACTGTACAGTGACTAATAAACAGGGCACACAAATTGCAAGTCACATTGCAGGTGGCCATATTGGGTGAAATGATTGCCACTTTTGAAGGACTTGGCTAAGGCTAGCACGGAGTTCAATACACAGCAAAAATCTAACCAGAACTACCTAAGAAAGAATACTGTAATCCTTTGTAGATTTGATTCATTTAATTTTAATGTCAGCATTGTGACAGTTTATTGCTTCTATATGATGATACTACTTGGAAATAAATTCAATGAATAGTTTTAGCCAGCAATATGCTCTTCTATGGAGAAATACTCATTGTCTCTGGAATAAATAAGACAGGAAAGTGCAGCGATGATCATGTGTGATTTTTAGTGTGATGTACCATAGTTATAACGTGATTGAGTGTCTGCAGCATTAAGACACATGTGAGGGTCTATGCTCAGAGGAGTAAACTGCTACTTTAAATGTAAACACAAAATGAATAACTTGGGAGAAAGCCTGAACTGTGACAAGAAGTGTATGTCAGATGAGTGATCTGAAACTAACATTTCATGCAAACCTGATAGTGGCAAATCATTGAACACCCCATCCAGTTTTCCTTTCTCAGGCAATCATCACCAACTTTACCTCCAAGTTGATCTACGGCAGTTTTGAAAGCAAAACAAAAAGCTCAGAAAATGTGTGCTGCGGCACAACTGGGGCAGCCCCCAACCTTCCAACTATCCACATCCACACTCGAGATGGTGCTGTTTGAGACGGGGTTTCATACCAGGGAATCAAGCTGTTTTTGTAACTCGACCATTGGCTTCACATGGTTTGTTCTCACACAGATTCCTAACATTTGAAAATTTTTTTTACTCAGCGCATAAGAGTATTCAATAAGGTTCTGAAATCAAATTTTCAAATCTGTTTTGATAAGAGATTGACATGATCAGTTTGGCTTTAGGACAGTTCATCAGTTCCTCCATAATGAGTACCAATAACATGCTGTGTCATCACCAGTGAGAACAAACCACATTAAGAACTCCCACCAAACTAATTTACCCTGAGAGTGTTTGACCTGTTCTGTGTATAAACCTATCTGATACGTTATCGGAAGTGGCTGACTGAAGCATTAATCTTCTCTTGTCTCAAACAGTATGTTCGATTGAGCTGCACCCTAAATAATACTTTGAAGCTGTTGGTACCCACCTGGCCAAACAATAGGTAATAGTTGTTGCCCCAATTAATAGGGCAGCTTTATATTGTGGACTCTATTGAATATCAGTCAGACCCCTGGCCCCTAAAGATTGTTAAGCCTTGGTTATCAACCTATGAAGCTCACATGCGGGTCCGAGGTCACTTATCAGATTGGATCATCAGATCCCTCGTGTGTTAGTTTGATCTGAACGTGATCTGTTTCTTCTCATGTTGCAGGACTCACCTTCTTCCGTCAATGGGTCTTCTTCATTGCATTGGCTAGAGCTCTCCACCCCTTGCTCTTCATCTTCCTTCTCAACTTGAAGACCTTCAATTATATCTTCTTCTTCATCTGTGAAAATAAGAAAGACACAAAGAGTTACTGCCAAACTTGCTAGTACACAGTGCATTGAAACAGACATCTTAACTGCTATAATATTCAGTTGGGAGAAACGTCACCCAGTCATCAGGAGAATGGCCTTTCTAAAGATTAGAAGACTGTCCTAGCGTAATACATACTTCTCTATATCTGAAGATACCAATTTTAAGTGCAAGTAGATTCAATCATTCTTCTTTTACTTAATATTGACAAAGCTTACAAGGATTATTGCAGGACAGGAAGGCCATTCAGCCATTTAAATTATCCATCCACAGACACCTATGATCCATCTTACTACATGTCTAACTACCACTTCAGGGACTCCAGCCTTTGGTATCATTTTTTTTTAACATTTAAAATGCTACTAAAGATGCTCAAATACAGAATTCCCTGCTGTGATAGTGATGCACAGGGAGAATTCCCAAAGGACTTGATCGCAAGATTGAACATCAGGAAGGACAGGCCCCAAAGTGATCCAACTCCTGCCCTTGCTTCCAATCCTCCCTCTTCAAATGACCTGCCCCCACCCCTCAAAAGCCCCACACTCTCTCCACCATGTTACTTACCTGGGACTTGGGTTCTCTGTGACCCTGGGATTTGGGGTGGAGGTGAGAGATTCGAGCAGCAGACATGGTGTCCTCAGTGAGTTTCCAGCCTCTGACTGACCAGCAGCTCTCTTTAAGCGGGTCCTCAACCCACTGGGGGTCTTGATTCCAGGGGAAAGGCCCGCAGGTGGCCTCGCTGCTGCCTGATCAGGTTGTCATTCAGTGGGTTTTCCCATCAAGATTTATCCTGATGGATAATCAGCCAGCAGGCTAGATCCTCCCTCCCCATGACACTCTCTCCAATACCTCCACAAGATAGCCCCATTAATTATGTATCACACTGCCTGACCTGGTGAGATTCTCAGCATTTCTCATTCTGATTTCAAGTTCCCAGCATCTGCAGCACTTTGAGTCTGCTTCCTAGTTTGTTTTGCCCCAGCGAAGTATCTGGTCATCACAAGGGATGAATTACAGGCTTCTTTGGATGATTGAGCTCCATGGGCAGCACAGCCATAAGCCAATTCTCAGGATAGAAGGATTGCCAGTAGGGTCAACCCTCCATTTCCATCATTTTACCTTTAAAGGAGGCAGCTCCCTGCACTATAGAAACAAGCAGAGCTGGGAGAGGTGATCTCTCTCACACGAGTAGAAGATATCAGGATCTTGACCAAGTGATAAGTAAGGGGACGATGCATTTCCAAGGCCTGCTGGGGTTCCCTTACATCTGCTGAGATGGTTGAGGTAGTGAGTTTTGTAGGTACCACAGAATAACCTCTACATTTATCCCTGGTGACCTTTCTGAATCATATCCTGCCCCTGGTTATCACACATTCTGTAATATTCTAAATCTGCTAATAGGATGTGGATTGACACCAAGGTATTTGCTAACTCCTCACAATTTCCTGTGCGTAACTGCCCTGTGGTGTTTTCCCAATTGTATCCATAAGCACGTTGCTTCTGGAAAATAAATGTTGGAAATTCCAATTAAAATCAGACCATTGGTGATCGGATCAGCAGGTGGGCCACTGAGGCAGGAAGACAAATGGCCTGCGTTGATTGGCTACCAGTGTGGTCTCCCTTCCCCCACCCACTAAATCCTTCATGGGATTTGTTTCCTCATGATATTGTTGGACTAACATTTTCTCATCGGTGCTGGTCCTTCATCATCATTGCCTCTCTCCCATTCATTTTCATTGTCCATCTCATCTTTTGAAACATCCTTGGAGTTGATGTCTCCATGCTTGCCCATTGCTGGGTTGTGATCTGTGAACATAAGAAGCCATGCATTGTGTTAGCTTTCAGTGCATTCTTGACCTTATACATTGAGCGCAGTCCATTTATGTCAACAACAAGAACTCACATTCATATAGCAACTCACAATAAAATATCCTAAGATTGTAGAAAGGGAGGAGTTGAAGAAGCAAAGTCAAGAGCCTCAAACCGAGGTTACTGAGCACACAGGTAGCAGTGGGGGAGTGATAGAATCAGGGTTGCGCAAACAGGTCAAAATTGGAGAAGCACAAAGATTGGAAAGATGGCAGGGCTTGAAGTAGTAAACAGAGCTTGGGAAAGGGGTAGCAGCGAGAGGAGGTTACAGAAATGTGCCAGAGGAAGTTATAGAGATACAGAAGAGTGTAGGACCTGGAAGTTGGTTACAGGGATAGTGAGAAGTGCAGAGGCTGGAGGAGGGTACTGAAATAGGGCAAGTTGTAGAGGCTGGAGGAGTTAAGAGATAGGGAGAGTTGTAGAGGCTAGAAGAGGTTACAAAGATAGGGCAGGGTATAGGCTAATGGAAGTTAGAGGTAGGTTAGAGGTAGGGATGTGTTGTAGGGCTGGAGAAGACTACAGCAATAGGAAGGGTTGTGGAGATGGAGGAAGCTACAGAGTCAAAGGGTTGTAGGGCTGTAGGAGGTTACAAAGATAGGTGGAGGTGGGGGTTATAGAGTTGGGGGGGTTACAGAGATAGGGAGAGTTGTATGGTTGGAGAAGGTTAAGAGATAGGAAGGATTGTAGATTTGAAGGAGGTTATACAGTGTTAGTGATGGAGGTTTTGCAAGGCTATCAGAATAAGGATTAGAATTTTTTTTAAACTTGAGGCAGTGCCAGAATTAATGTAAGGATGAGAATTTCTAAACTGGCGATGGTGTGAGTCAATATTGGTGAGTGAACACAGTTGATGGTTAAGTTGCAATCATTTACAGTGGAATGTGGTGCCTAATAAAAAAATCAGTTAATTGGTTCAGATGTTTAACACTGGATTTGTTTCCTCTGAAATGTTACAAATTTAATTTTTACTTCCACTTCTCACCTAAAGTTCCCTTCAAGAAGATAAGAGTCTGGGCAGCATTTGTTAACTTTTCTTTCCTGAATTATCTGCACTGTTTCCATCCCTTACCTAACTCAAAGCGGTCACTCTTCACATCTCATTTCAGAAAGTCAGTAACATGAGGTAAGTGGGAAGCAATGAATGCTTCATCCTGATCTCAGCCTGTATTTCCTCATGGTCATGTCCCAGTGAGGGGCACTGGGTAGCGAGCAGGCCAAGGCATCCTGATCCTGATTAACTGGCACTAGCAGACATCAAAGAGCCTGGCTTCATTACCTGCCTCAGCTGAGGTCATCCCTCTGTATAATTCCAATTTGGGAACATCTGTGCATTTGTATATCATCCATTCAACTAGTGAGCCAATCAGAAGGAGACCACATCTGACAGATGATTGCAGTGAGGTCTGAAGACTGGCTAATGGAATGTCATCAATACTGTTTATCAAAATTATTCACATTCTAATAGTACCCAGCATTTATTAAGGAGAAACAGTCATTTACCTGCACGCATTTCCACAGCGCTCCCCTGCATCGTTTCTTCATCCAAAACATCCTATCAAATCAAAACAAAAGAAAATCTATGGACAAAAAAAATCTATTTGGTTCTCCAGAACCCATGCATCCTGTACCTTAACTCTCCCATTCAAATATCTCTGTCCAGTGGCTCCAATTGAAGTCTGTTCTTTCCTTGTGTTCCAGTGAAGCTGGTTTCTCTGATACACTGACTCTGTCACTGGGCCCTTCTTTTCCAGTCCCTGCAAACTCTAAGCCTACTATTGTGTTCCATTTTGTAGATGCCTTTATTTCTAACTCCAGACCTAGTAGGTGAGACCAGAGATGAATCATTCGAAAGAAGGAACTGCGCACTGCAGTATGTGAGCACACAGTCTAAAGGCGTTAGTTAATTGTCAGAGATTTTGCTGCTGCCTATAACTAGCTCCTGCCAGGAGATCTATTGTCATGGTGTCCCACACTTATCTATCTTGAACCATCCTCACACATCCACTGTAGGTCATTAATAACCACTGTGACATCCATCATCCAATTAAGACCACAAGATGTAGGAGCAGAAGTAGGCCATTCAGCACATTGAATTTGATCCACCATCCAATGAGATCATATCTGATCTGATAGTCCTCAACTTCACCTTCTGACTTCTCCTCATTACCCTTGATTTCCTTACTGATTAAAAATCTGCCTATCTCAGCCTTGAAAATACTTAATATCGCAACCTGAACAGGTTCCACGGATTCACTTCCCTCTGAGAGTCAGAGTCATACAGCACAGATACAGACTCTTCAGTCCAACTTATCCATGCCGACCATGTTTCCCAACTAAAGTAGTCCCACCCAGCCTGCATTTGGCTCATTTCCATCCAAACATTTCCTATTCATGTACTTATCCAAATATCTTTTAAACATTGTAAACGTACCTGTATCCACCACTTCCCCTGGAAATTCATTCCACATACAAACTACTTTCTGTGTAAAAACGGTTGTCCTTTTTTAAATCCTTTTCCTCTCACCTTAAAACTATGCCCCCTAGCTTTGAAGTCTCCAACCCTAGGGAAAAGACTTTTGCTATTCACCTAATCTACACCCCTCGTGATTTTATAACCTCAATAAGATTGCCTCTCATGCAGCCTATCCTGCTTCTCCTTAAAACACAAACACTATTCCTGGTAACATCCTGGCAAATCTTTTCTGAACCATCTCTGATTTAATATCTTTCCTACAGCAGAGTGACCAGAACTGTACACAGTATTCCAGAAGAGGCCTCACCGATGTCCTGTATAACCTCAACATGACCTCCCGATTCATATACGCAAAGGTGAGCAATGAAGGCAAGCCTTCTAAATGCCTTCTTAACCACCCTGTCTACATGTGAAGCAAACTTCAAAGAATTATGTACCTGATCCGCAGGTCTTTCTATTCTACAACAATAGCCAGGGCTCTACCATTAATTGTACAAGTCCTGCCCTTGTTTGTTTTACCAAAATGCAATATTTCACATTTATCCACATTAGACTCCTTAGTCCAATGACCCAACTGATCAAGATCTCTTTGTGACCTTAGATAACCTCCTTCACTGACAACTATACCTAAAATTTTGATGTCATCTGCAAACTTACTAACCATGCCGCCCATATTATCATCCAAATTGTTTATATAAATGACAAACAAAAGTGAACGCTATACTGTGGATTACACTGGTCACAGCCCTCCAATCTGAAAAACAACCCTTCACCACCGCCCTTTGTCTCTCACCGAGCAGCCAATTTTGTATTCAATTGGCAAGCTCACCCTGAATCCCATGTGATCTAACTTTACTAATTAGTCTACCATACGGAACCTTATCAAAGGCTTTACTGAAGTCCATGGAAACAATGTCTATTGCTCTGCCCTCAATCTTTTTGATTACTTCCTCAAAAAAACGCAATCAAGTTTGTGAGACATGATTTCCCTTGCACAAAACCGTGCTGACCATTCCTAATCATTCCTTGATAACAAGGTGTAGAGCTGGATGAACACAGCGGGCCAAGCAGCATCAGAGGAGCAGGAAAGCTGACGTTTCGGGTCTAGACCCCTCTTCAGAAAAAAATCATTCCTTGCCTCTCTTTTCTCCCATCTTAGAGGGAAGAAATTCCTCCTCATTTCTGACATAATTGGGAAACACCTTATTCTGAAATTGTGTCGTCGGGTCCTCAACTCTCCCATATGAAGAAATAACCTTTCCTGCCCTGTCAAGTTTCACTAAGAATTTTCTGTTTTAATAAGGTCGCCTCTCAGTCTTCTACATTCCAATGAGCACAGGCCCAATCTACTCAACCTCCTCTCATAAGACAGTCCCTCCATACCTGGGATCAGCTGAGTGAACCTTCTCTTGACAGGCTCCCATACCAGCATATCTTTCCTTACATAAGGAGCCCAAAACCGTTCACAGTATTTCAGCTGTGGTCTGATTAGAGCCTTGTAAAGTTTTAAGAAAACCGCTATATTCCATCCCCTTTGAATAACACTCCATTTTCCTTCCCTATTACCTACGGAGCTTGGATGCTAGCTTTTCGTGATACATGAGCCTTGGGTTGATCCACCTTGCTGTAGCCCTTCCTTCAACCTCGAGAAGAGGTCTTTGCAACTTTTCAGCTTACATCAAATGGCCAAATTCCTGACATTTTCTTTCCTGGGTGTCATTCCTCAGAGTTCTTTTGGCTTTTGCAATTTCAAGTACCTCTTAATTTGTCTTAATGGTCTATATATTGAATTTTTAGTATATGTTAGCATCCATATTTCAAAAGTCTCCATTTCAACCAGAGATTTTTATTCATTGTCCATATATCTGAGGCATATGGAAAAAGTGGATCATATGTAGCATTTTATGAGTGTTATTCCTTGTTAAAAGCTTTCAGATGAGAATTTAAAATAATCTCCCTGGCCAACTGCTTGATAAAGACTCCATGACAGATTTTACGAATGGAGCATGGAGTGTTCTCAGAGACAAATAGCATTTATTCCTGAATTTATTCATCTGGGAATCAATCTCACTTTTGCTTGTGGGGAATCTTGTTGTGTGCAGGTTGGAAGTTGAACTAGCCTACATAACAGAAACTATGCTTCAGAAATAACTACTTTGAATCAGGATAAAGCTGTTCAAAAATATACGAATACAAATCAGTTTTGTTACCGAATATATTTGCTTTAATTTTACATTAAACTCAGCTAAAATTGAGTCTTCTGGTCTAACTTGCCATAGTCTGAAGTAAAAAGGTGTAAGGAATATATCTACCACAATCTAACATGATAGTAGTCATTGATAAGACAGCTACTTTTCCCAGATGCTGGTTCAGGCCAGTTCCCACTCTATCTCGTGACTATTTAAGACTTTACCACGTCTTCTTTTTATTTACTTAGAGGATACGGGCATCATATTTATCGATCGTCCCTAGTTGCCCTTGAGAAGGTCGTAAGCTGCCTGAATGAACTGCTGCAGTCTATATGGAATAAGCAGACTCACAATGCCTTGAGTGAAGGAGTTCCAGGATTTTGACCCAGCAACTGTGAAGGAACAGCGATATATTTCCCAGTCAGGATGGTGAGTGGCTTGGAGGGGAACTTGCAGGGGGTGGTGTTCCTATGTATCTTCTACTATTGTCCTTCTAGATGGAAGTGGTCATGGGTTTCGAAGGTGCTTTCTAAGAATCTTTGGTGAATTTCTGCAGTGCATCTTGTAGGTGGTACACACTGCTGCTACTGAGCATCGGTGTTGGAGGGAGTGGATGCTTGTGGATGTAGTGCCAATCAAGCGGGCTGCTTTATCAAGTGTCAAGCTTCTTGAGTGCTGTTGAAGCTGCACATATACTAGGACTTTCATTCTGAAATGTCATTAATTTTTTTTTATTGAAATATCCTGTTGTAGCTATCAGAGGAACTGGGAAAGTGTGAGGTTTCAGCACTGCCACAGTAACCCTGTTCGAAACACTGCCCTGAAAGTTCTCTGTATTTATAATGACTGACCTGTTGCGTATTTCTAACATTGGTTACATCTCAAATTTCCAGCATTTACAACCCTTCGCTTTTTAGTTGAGCAGACAGACCTACTGTGGTCAGGACTCTTCAGGGAGTGGACAGAGCCTGAGTTCTTATGTAGTCAGTGCTCTTCATCTGGTACAGAGCTTAATCTAGAGTGTTTTGAAAGTTAAATTCTCACAAAAGCAATAAAAATTATGGTACAAATGTTACATAAGGAAAGCAGCCAGACAGAGGACAATTTGCAATTTAAACCAGATTGTGATAACTCATTCTGCGCAGCAACTGAAATTATAATTCATAATTTAAAACACTACCTCATTTATGAGCCTTGGAGCTGTTTTCTCTAAATTACTCTGATTGGAGCCATGCAAACCGTTGTAGTGAAGTGTGCAGTAGAATTTCCCTAAGAGAAAAGAGTAAGTGATTAATCTGTTCTTCAGAAAGTTAATTCTCCATTTCAAAGCTCAATTAGACAAATTAGCCTCCATTCCTCACGCTCTGAGGATTTTGGGAATTGATGCTTTTTCTAGTGGGAATCAGAGCTGTGTAAACCAGACAGGACCTTGCTCTAATGGCTCATTAGAACTGAGCTAGGTACACAACACACGAGAGATGTAACACCATCACTCACTCCTAAGCATTACTCAGGGAATCCCGCTGGAACAGCCACATGTATGGGTGTTGGTTGAAGGTTGGTCAGACAAAGCTGAGGTTTTGACCCCTGCTCACCTGGTCGAATAGCCTGAACTGGAGGGGCAGAGTTTTCACTCTGCAGGTGGGAAACAAGGATCAGGATAGTTTCCCACATCCATACCCAATTCCGGGGAAGCTGTCTATCATTGGAATTTAGACCAGAGCTCGCTCTTAATCAACAGGGAGGCCATTGAGAATGGGGAACAGGCTCTTGCAGTTGGAGGGTCCATCAAAGGCATTCCAGCTTCAGATGAGTACCCGGCTGTAGAAAATAGTAAGGAACTGGGCACGTACTGGAACAATATCACTGTTCCTTCATTGCCACTGGTCAAGCTCTAACAGGTTCCTCCCTGACAGCATTGTGGGTGCTGCCACATCAAATGAACTGCAGCAGCTCCAGAAGCTAGCTCACCTACCCCTTCTCGAGGGCAATTAGAGATCGGCAATAAATTCTGGCCGAGTCAGCAGCACTCTCATAAAGTGAACAGATATTAAAAAAACCAAAAACAAGTTGGCCTCTCAGCCACTATAAAAGATATTAAAAATACAAGAGCAACCTGGGAGAGACAGGGGAAAGAGGTAGGTTATCAAGGAAAGCCCACTGGCCCTTTGCTGTACCCTCACCCGTGCAGGCAAGCAAGCTGTGTAGAGATACCTGCAGTGTTGATCCTCTGGCCTGCTATAATGTGCCTGCCTCCATTCACACTGGGTAACAGGAGGTCCCAGTCAACCTCCTGCACCGAACTTTAACCAATGTCTCAATGAAACTAGTTGGCCATCCGTCTCGTGCTAGCAGACCTGCTAGCCCCAAACTCACTTGCCCAAAATGACCCAAGCCACAAACAGGGCAAAGAAACTTCTATGCTGGCCAGTCTTGAGAATTTTGTGAGCTCCATTCACTGACATGGGGCCTGAAAATCCTGCCCTCAGTGCTGGGCTTGCACTTAAACTAAGGGCGTGTGGACTGACACTGGAGATATTGGCTTGTATTGAATTGTGGGTCTACCTACTGCACACAGACTGCAGCAGTTCAAGAACACAGCTCACCGCCACCTTCTCAAAGGCAACTAGGACAATAAGTGTTGGCTCAGCCAGTGACACAAGTCTCATGAGTGAATTTTTAAAAAATTCCTCTCGGGATTCCTTAACACTGACAATTCCTATTGCTCTTCACTGATCAGTGTTTGTGATTGACTCTGTAACTATCTGATGTTGTAGTCACCTTGATCTTCCCCAAAAGCATTGAAAATGATAACATGACAAAGCACAGATGTGGCCATTTTGCCCAGTGTCCACATGCTGACTCTTCTAAAATGTTACACAATTCGCCCTGCAAAAAAAAACTGCAAGGCGGTGGGAGAAGACGAAAAGGGAGGGAAGAACTTTAGCCCGAGTTGGGAAATCTACCTCCAGATGGGAAATCTACAACTGTTATTGAGCCTAATGCCACTTCAACAGGGAAGCCCCCAGAAAGAAGCTAAGTTGGTTGGGAATTTTCTGGATTTTTGGTCACCTGTAAACTGCTGGTGGTCCAGGAGTGTGTGGGAAATCAGAGTCAGACTGACGACGTTCTGTAGGCCTCACCATCCACATCACCCCTCATTCTCTCCAAGTAAGCCCATCTTGCAGTCTAAAAATTAGACTGTGTTTACCTCATAGAGGTGATGGTTGGCTTGCAGATAGAAAAAAAATTGCACACTGATAATGTCGGTATTGTTTTTGAGAAAGAGACAATAATCCTGTTGAGAATGACAGTAGGAAACGTTTCTCTCCAACAAAATCATGCTGCTCATGACTTGAGAGGGCTGAATGTTGACGTTGAAAGAGTGAAAATAATCCCCAGAAACGTCGAATCTTACAATTTATAGAATCAGCCTTCATGTTCAATCTCCAAAACAGAATATATTTGTAAATCATTACAAAGCTGTAGCAAGGGATAAATGGTAGCTTGCCATCATGGGAGCCATTGTTTAAATGTAGCCAAGTGTGGCATGATCAAAGCCTCCTCCAGTGGTAAGTATCAACTGAAATTGGGTAATTATAATCTGGATTCTGGTAGGCATGGTGCTAGAGCACAAAACTGACGTGTGGTGTGCACTGACAATTGGACACGGAGTAACAAATGATCTCCTAGTGCAGCAAGGCCAGGTCCCTGATAATGGGGCTGATGAGGGCGAGGCCAAGGCAGCTTTACTCTAACATTAAACAGCGTTCCCTGGGAACAGGCTAGCTGTGATGGAATGTGCTGTGGTTCTCTCACCTCAACAATCACAGTATAGACCGGTATTGAAAACGCCCCTCATGGGTACTTGCCATCTCTTCTGTTGAAAGCGTAGTTCCCGAGCCGCAGGGTTTTGCCACACTGGTGGCACATGAAGCAGCCGCGGTGAAAGAACTGTCCCTCGGCGCTGAAGCGTTCCACCACATAAACCCGCTTCTTACAGAAGTAACAAACCTCACTGCTGCTGGGGCCTGATGCCTGTCTGAAGGAGCCCTGAGACACAGACATACAAAGCACACTCTACATCAGTGAACAAGATCGATCAAGGGCTGCTTTGCATCTTGCATGTATGTATATAATGCACTCTGTGATCAATATACTGTGCACCTTACCATATTAATATAACACAATGCCAGTAGATCACACACATACCATTTGTCACCTGATATACAGATAGTGTCACCAACCATTTTGGACTGGACTTTGGCTCCAGTTTCTACATGGGTGTGAATTTGGGACACTGTTCACTTTAGCTGGGTCAGTAACTACAGAGCACTGTTTAAGACAAACAGCAAATGGACTATAGCAGCAATGAAAAGGTGGTTTTTGAAGGCACTAGTTGTTACCATTTGTACCAATGCATGGAAACTGGAAATACACTTGAAAAGCAAACATTTGTAGACCATCTGGGGAAAGTGGCTGCAAATAATTGCAACTCTTGTTCAGGGAGGTATGATGTGTTAAGTGGCATCCTATTCTGTAAGAGTCTGTGAGGTACGCAAAGTGTGTAACAATACATTTCACTTGGAGAATACAGGACAATATATTTGACATATCCTGGAGTTGAGGGATTGGATCCAGACCAGGTTATAGGTACTGGATGTTGAGGTACTGACCTGTCTTTTAACATTAGTTGGTTCCCCATCGTGCTTCTCCTGGAATTGTTTTGTTTGCGAGTTGCTGCTCTCATTCTTCCGCGGTGAAAGTGCTGACGATGGCAGGGTCAAAGTCTCATTTGGGTCATCCTTCAGTAATTGTTCTGATTCAGCATCTGACTAAACACAGATTGAGATTTTTTTTTTCAATGTGAGGTTTTAGTCATTAAATCCACAGAGACATTGGGCTGGATTTTATGTATTAGGTGATGACACTGTCCCACCTATGCTCTCCCCCCCCACATGTTAAAAATTCTGGCTCAAGAAGCCATAACCAGGATTTTTATTTTCTTTATTTATGCACGCAATGTGAACATCGCTGTCTGGGTCAGTATTCATTGTCCATCTCTAATTGCCCTTGAAAAAGTGGTGGTAAGTCACCTTGTTGAACCATTACAGTCCACGGTCACGAAACAATTCACTGCATCAGGTCAAAGCTACCAACTCCATGCCCCGTTCTCCTCGAGCTGTCAGCCAATCAGCTCGAAGGCAGCTCTCCAGTTCCTGCAGCGCCACGAGAAGAAGTGGCCATTGCTGGAACTGCAGAACGGACGAGGAGGTAAGGCCGGAGTGGGGCTGGTAAGGGCCAATCAGGAAGACCCCAGGGGGGCGGGGGGGCACAAGGATGTTGTGACTGGGATGGCATGGAGCTGCAGAGGCATCTCTGTCTGTGAGCTCTCCATGGTAGCAAGAGAAGGTGTAACCATTGAGTAATGAGTAACTATGAATGAATGCCTGACCATTAATGTGCATCATCATTTCATGGCCTCTGGCAGTCACTAGGCCTCAAAAGCCCCCAAAAATTAACTTGTTTTTTTTTTACCACTGAGCTTCGTTTGTTTGCCACGTTTTTCCGGAGGGAACTGAGGAACAAGAGCGCCGACTTGGCTGATGACAAGGTCATTATCTTCCTTTTATTGACATCTTGGAGCTCTGAGAGAGAAAAGAAGCAGAAATTCTACACATAACCGGAGACCTGGCTGTGTAATTCAGGAATATTCTGAGATCAATGGATATTTCAACACAAACTCACCAGGAGATATGTCCTTGAAGAACTCATTGAACTGGGTCAAGTACATGAACATACTGAGCTTGTCAGGGCTGGTAGCTACTTCCATTTCTCTCCCGGTCATTATTGGTGAGATTCCAAACTCTTTTTCTGCGATATTGAATGCAAGTTGGTTGTTTTCAGCAACAGATTCTTCTTTAAGACTCTCAAAGTTACTGGAAAAAGGAGGAAAAGAGCTCAGTGCAAGGCCAAGACTATTCACCCTCCTACATTTGAAATAGCTGTGAGATGGAGTTGACACCAAAGGAGTATCAGCTGAGTGGAACACAGGTTTGCATGTTGTTGTGGTGTCACCATAGTCTTACCAGGCCATAGGACTGCACTCTCATTAGAGAGAGAGACAATGGGTGGTGATATAACCTGAGGCTCACCATACCTCAGGTGAGAGGAAACGGTTGAGAAGAAGAGTCTTTCATGGTAACTTAACCAGTGATGGGAATTGAACCTGCACTGTTAGCATCACACTGCTTTGCAAGCCAACCATCCAGCCAACTGAGCTAAACGTGCCATATGACTGCAGTATGCATTTCTTGACCTGCACTCTCTCCAACTCTAGCTATAAGGAACGTAAGAACAGGATGTAGGGCATTCACAACTTCTGATTGGTAGATTCTATCTACATGACTGATGAGGTTATAAAATTGAAGATGAATCTTTCAGACACTTGTTTGTTGGGACACTTTGGTCTCTTGTTTTACACCAGCTGGCCTCACAATCATTAATAGGAGCTCAATAGCCTGAGGATCCAATGGAATCCTGGTGCATCTACACCTTGGTAAGAGCCCATGATGGATACAACTATTTCTGGGTCAGAGACAGCTCTGTCTCCTTTACTAATGCCAGCCCCATTCAGTCAACAGCATTTCCACCTCTGAACCAGAAGATTGTAGGTTCAAGGCTGGCTCTGGGGATTTGAGCATATGATCCAGGCTAACACTCCAGTGCAGTGCCTAATTCCTATACAGTGCACAGCACTTAAAATAATTGATTGTTCTCCTAATTCCTCCATCACCCAATGATCCCCAAAACAGATTGACTAGCCATTTAATCCATCAATATAGAACTACTGTCAACCTACACAACATGTGACTACGTTTCAAGTGAATTCCTTCATTACAACATCAGGTTTTGGTATGTCCCAAGGACATAAGAGTGCTGTATAAATGCAAGTTCTTTCAGTGTAACTCTTTTCTTTGCTAATCTCATAACGATTCAAGATCAGTAAGCTCAGGTACCTATACGAGGAATGAAAACATTCTCAATGCCTCTCACAAACAGAGGGCAGTTTAAATTGCCTTACAACTGTCAAAACGTGCTTGCTGTGGTAGTGTGGGCCGATATGTAATCCAACCTGGGAACAGCAAGATCCCAAAAACAGCCCTCAGGTTACTGAGGAGATTAATCTGTTTTAGTGATGTTGGTTGAGGAATGAATTCTGGTAAGGACACTGGTGACATGATTTGCTAAACTTTCGATTTTGTTGGAGCCTCAATGTATGACATCACCAAGGACAGACAAAAGGTAGAAATATCACATTCATTATTATCTTGCTACTACTCACATAAGGTCTGGCCGAAAATGATGAATCAGCGCACACAATGCCAAGCCACTCTTCCAGGACGTTGTCAGGTCAACGACCTTTACATTCCTATAGCTTCTCGTGTGCTGTTGACACCAGCTCAGGAGCTCTTCGTAACCCACACAGGAATCTACAAGAAGCACTCATAGTCAACCTCAGTATTCAGTCAAAGTCATGTTGAGAACAGCACAAGCACTCAAGAAATGCTCTGGTTTTGACTGATATCTAGTCAATTTCTCTATGAACCTCTGCACCTTACAGAGAATAACATATATCATTTTCTTCATCATGTTTTCACAGAATGTAGTTCCCTCAGTGCCTTGGTAGATAAAGGCATTGTAGCTGCTTATTACATAGGTGTACGCACATACACAGGTGCACATGGAAGTTCATGCACACATTTACACACACACACAGCATGTGCAAGTCACATTGGTTGGCATTGCAGGTCAGGCATTAATGAATTGTCACTGGTTTTATACTTGAAGTGAAACAGACAGAAAAGCAGGCAGAGTGATGGTCTCTTGACCCACAAGCACCAACTTTTCACATCTGACTAAGCCAAATGTCATACCCCACCTCACACACAAAAGTAACAAGGTTCACTGCAGTGGTTCCACTCTCATCTTGGTTGGAACTGGTAAACTCAGCACAGACCAAGCAGTGAAATTGGGATTGCTGAGTGCAGCTGTATTCCTCACTGGTACATACAGTACAAAGCAAGCTCTGCAGTGTAACTGAATGTGGGACCTAGGGGCCATTCTGTAAATTCTGCTCCAGCACTCAGTAAGATCATGGTTGATTGGATTGTGGTCTCAACTCCACTTTCCTGTCTGCCCCACCAATTCCACAATCCCCCTTCCTCACAGCCCTCATTTATCAAACAACTATTGAACTTAGTCTTTTGTAAATTCAAGGACCCAGCTTCCAGTGCTTTCTGTGGAAGGGAATTTCACACACTAACTGAAATAACAGCAGAGGCCAGTATCCCATCTCCAAAGTCACCCTTTATTTACTTGTGCATAGTACACTGACTATGGATGGCTGGCCAACCAACTCAGAGTCAATCCCCTCACCTAAGGAGAGTCTACATCCCCTGTTTATACTGTACCAGCCAAGGCTTTTCTGATTTGCCCAGGTTAACAACACCAATCAGGCACCTCGCAGTCAACAAGATCCAGCTGGCTCCAATCATTAACACCCCTCAAAGGAACAAAAATCACCTCACCTCTGACTTTAAAGGGAAAATCTCTTACTCTTAAACTGTGTCCATTAGTTCTAGTCTCCCTTAGAAAATGAAAGCCATCCTGCTTGGCATCCACCTTGGCAGATTGCCTTTTGTATGCTGTGATAAGATCAGTTCTCATTCTTTTAAACTTGTAGATCTAACCTGTTCAAATTTTCCTCATAAACTCCCATCCCAGAGATGAGAAACTCCCTGAGAAAAATAACAATATGATTTCGGAGGGTGGTAAATAGTGAGTCTGACATGTCACTGTGGAAATGCAGGGAAAATCAGCCATGTTACCTGCTCCTGGGAATTACCTCATGACTATCTCTGGAAAAGGAGCACAGGGCTAGGCTTTGCCTAGGTATCTTTTATGACAGAACAACATATCAAGATGGACTGTCAAAGGTCAGGTATAATAAAATGTCAGGAAGAAGAATACAATACAATTTTTTAAACAAAAGTGAGGGAATTTGACCATTTTGAAACGTTCCATCTGAAATGATTTCACTTTGTGTCTTACCACTGCGTTGCATTGTCCCCTTTGTCTGGCTGGTATCCTTCTCTGTAGCTGTGCTCCTTCCTGCATCATACAGATGTTGTACCTTAAGTAAAGCGGACAAATGAATTAACAAATTATTCAGTGTCTTGGGTGTGACATAATCGAATGGTCATATTCTAAAATGTGTCCCCTTCTGTAGGTAACACAGCGTGGAGCTGG